GGGATGATGCCTGGAATGGAGGGAAGTTCTTACGAGGAAAGGTTGAGAGAGCTAGGGCTTTTCTCTTTAGAACGACGAAGGATGAGAGGTGACTTGATACAGGTGTACAAAATGATCAGAGGTATAGATGGAGTAGACAGCCAAAGACTTTTTCCTAGGATGGAGATAGCTATTACAAGGGGGCATAGTTTTAAATTGAGTGGAGGTAGATATAGGGGAGACGTCAGAGGTAGGTTCTTTACTCAGAGAGTAGTCGGGGCGTGGAAAGCATTGCTGGAGAGGATAGTGGAGACGGCCTCATTAGGGACATTTAAGCAGCTATTAGATAGGCATACAGATGATAGTATAAGGTAGGAGTGTAGGTTTGATAGACCTTAGGATTAGGGTAAAAGTTCGGCACAAATCGTGGGCCGAAGGGCCTGTACAATGCTGTACTGTTCTATGTTCTATGTTCTATGTTCTATTGAAGATGGTCATTGCCTGGTGTTTGAGGTGCAAATGTTACTTCCAACATTTAGCCCAATCTTGGATATTGCCCAGGTCTTGCTGCATTGGGACATGAACTGCTTCAGTAGTGAAAAGCACAATTACTCATGTTGTAAATAGTGTTGAACATTGTGCAGTCAATAGCCACTTCTGACCTTAATGTTGGAGGGAAGTTCATTCATGAAGTAACCGAAGATGATTGGGTTTCAGATACTACCCTGAGGAATTCCTGCAGAGATGATTGACCTCCAACAGCCAATAGTTTTTCTCCGGATTCCCATTGACTCCAGTTGAACTAGGCCTCCTTGGTATCACAAGCAGTCAAATTTGATCTTCATGTCACTCTTGCTTTTCCTCTGAAATTCAGTTTGTTTTTCCATCTTTGATCCAGGTCTGTGATAAGATCAGGAGCTGAGCTGCCCTGATGGTTCCCAAACTGGGTGGTCAGTGAGCAGGTTATTGCTGAAATAGCCCAGCCTCCTGCCTGGAGCTCACTTGCTCTGTTCACATTTAATCTTTTTTCTTCTTTAAATGATTTTTTTTCTTATTTAACTTATTTGGAGAGCTTGGCAGCTGCAAGGCATCCACTGTGTCTGATGCAGAGTTCCTTCCTGGCAGCAGCAATGGAGGGAATCAAGTTTGTGCTCCCAGCAACAGCAGTGGAGGGAGGTGAGAGTGTGTTCCTGGTGGTAGTGGAGGGAGGTGAGAGTGTGTTCCTGGTGGTGGTGGGGGAGGTGAAAGTGTGTTCCTGGTGGTGGGGGAGAGAGGTGAGAATATGTTCCTGATGATGGGGGAGGGAGGTGGGAGTGTGTTCCTGGTGGTGGTGGAGTGAGGTGAGACTGTGTTCCCGGCAGTGGTAGAGGGAGGTGAGAGTGTGTTCCTCATGGTGGTGGGGGAGGTGAGAGCGTGTTCCTGGTGGTGGGGGAGTGAGGTGAGAGTGTGTTCCTGGTGGTGGGGGAGTGGGGCAAGAGTATGTTCCTGGTGGCAGCGGGAGGCGGGTTTGGGCCCTGTGTCGGGCGTGGGACCCAACAGCTTCAATGGCGACTGCATTGCCGAGATCGGCCCAACGCAGACTCATGGTAACAACAATGTCAGTAAGAGACAATATGGTGATGGGCAGTGTGGCGAAGGGGCTCAAGGCTCGCTGACTGCTTCCTGCTGGTGTTGGCCTCTGCATCAGGGTGGAACTGGAATGGACTGGACCCGAAATGTTAACTCTGATTTCGCTCCACTGATGCTGCCAGACCTTATTCCAGCAATTTCTGTTTTTGTTTCTGATTTCCGACATCTTCAGTTCTTTCAGGTTTTTGTGTATACGTGAGCAATTTTCCACTTTGTTGTTTGGATGCCAGTGCTTTAGTTGTATTGGATCAGCTTGGCTAGGGGTGTAGTGTGTTCTGGAGTACCAGTCTTATGGATTGTTGCCAGAATGTTGTCAGGGCCCGTAGCCTTTACAGGATCCAGTGCCTCCACCCTCTGAATTCAGAGGCACACACTACTAATAGCAGAAAAGTCCCTGAGGAAGAAAAATTCAACACTGAACATATTTCTGATCCAAGACTTCTTCTGATTCAACTGTATATCCAAAATGTCTTGCTTTAAATTTCATCCTGGATAGAAACACAACACTTCTAAAATACAAAATCCTAATCGAAAAATTGAATATTCGTGTTATTGATCACAGCATCAGACAGCATTAGGAATTAAGTCTGATAAATTGTGGAAAATTAAAACAAAATAATGAAAATACATGTCAGACCACTTTGCCTCTGCATGTGTGGTTCAGGCTGAAATCATTTAGTGGACCAAGATCATTGTGTGTTCTATATCCTGATTAAAACTTTCTCTAAATTAAAAGGTAAGAAGTCCAGGGCTTCCGAAAAACTATCCCCAAAGCTCTGACTTTATCACTTTTCTCAGTTCAAACTAAGACTGCATGATCTCGAGGCTCTCTTTAGACCCGAGTTTACCTCAAGCACCGTTCTTCCCCACTATCATAGTTACTAAATCCATCTTCAATCTTTCCTCACTCCCAAGACCACTGAAAATGGAAAGCATATTTCTGTTAGTTTGACACTAAGCTTCTCCAGTACTGACATGTCCTCCCATGCTCCACTTTGTATAAATTCTAACTCATCTAAAATTCTACCTCCTGGTTCCTGTTCTGCACTAAAACTTGTTTATCCATCATCCATATTGCATCCAGCCTCCATTGTCTTCCTGTTCTCAGAGACATCTGACTCAAACCAATCTTACACACTATTGAAATTATTTTTCCAACATCAAATCATCCATGTTTTTTTTTATTTTAACCACCACCAGTAAATCATCCTACATTTTACAATTTTGAAAATTTACATGCAAAGCCTGTTAAAGGTGATGCAGACCATCAAAGGTGAGGGAGAAGAGAAGAGACTTGATTGAAGATTAGCTTAAGGCAGGATGATCATGCCGTCTATCATGTAAACTGAATAACTAATGAGCTGACGGGACTGAACTAGTTCCAGAGAAACAGAGGAGCTATAAATGTGGGCGCTTTCAGTGCAGCTCTGCAAACAAGTGCAGCTGTAGAGCGAGTGCAAGGCTCTGGAGTTTGGTCTGTGGGGAATACAGTTAGCATCAGACAAACGGATAGTAAAAGCTTCTGTAGGTACATGAAGAGAAAAGTTAGTAAAGACGAATATAGGTCCCCTACACAGTCACAGGGAAATTTATAATGGGGAACAAAGAGATGGCAGACAAATTAAATACGTACTTTAGTTCTGTCTTCACAAAGAAAGACAAATGCCATCCCAAAATAAGGGGGAGCACAGATCCAAATGGGGAAGAGGAATTGAAATTAATTTATAGGAGTAGGAAAATGGTGTTGGGAAACTAATGGAATTAAAGACAGATACATCCCCAGGGTCTGTTGAGCTTCATCCCAGAGTATTTAAGGAAGTGTCCCTGGAAGTAGCAGATGTGCTAGTGGTCATATTCCAAAATGCTATAGATTCTGGAACAGTTCTTATGGATTGGAGAGTAGCTAACATCATCCCACTATTTAAGGAAGGCAGAGAGAAAACAGCAAGTTATAGATTGAATGAGCGAATTATAGGCAAGTAGTGAGAAAAATGCTAGAGTCCATTATAAATGTAACAGCAGAGCACCTGGCATATAGTAATAAGACCAGACAGAGTCAACATGGATTTACGAAGGGGAAACCATGCTTGACAAATCTGCTGGAATTTTTTGAGGATGTAATTGGTCAGATGAATGCAGGGAGGTGGGGTGGGGAGGTGGTGAATGTGGTTTACCTGGATTTTCAGAAGGCTTTCTGAAAAGGAACCACCTAAGAGAATGGCACGCAAAATTAATGCACATGGGATTGGCAGTCGTGTACTCAAATGGACAAAGAATTGGTTGCAGATAGGAAGCAGGAGGAATAAACAAGTCTTTACTAAGTGGTAGGCAGTGACTAGTGGGGTAGCATGGGGATCAGTGCCTGGACCAAGCGATTCATAATGGACAGTAATGATTTAGATAAGGAGATTATACATCATATCACCACATTTTCAGATGACACAAAGCTGGGTGGGATGGTATGGTGTGAGGAGGACACAGAGAAGCTTCAGTGTGATTTGGACAGGTTATGTGAGTGGGCAAATATATGACAGATGCAGTACAATATGGATAAATGTGAGGTTATCCATTCTGGTAGCAAAAACAGGAAAGCAGATTATTATGTCATTGGCAACAAATTGTGTAAGGGAAGGTTCAATGAGGCCCTCATAACAAGACAGTTTGAGTGCAGGAGCAGGGAGGTCTTGCTGCAACTGTGCATGGCATTGGTAAGACCACACCTGGAATATTGTGTGCAGTTTTGGTCTCCTTATCTGAGGAAAGACGTTCTGGCTATTGAGGGAGTACAAAGAAGGTTTACTGGACTGATCCTTAGAGTAGCAGGACTGATAGGTAGTGGGAGACCGGATCGGTTTAGGACTGTATAAAGTGGAGTTTAGAAGAATAAGGGGAGATCTCATAGACACCTATAAAATCTAACAGGATTAAAGTGGGTAGATGTGGGAAGGATGTTCTCAATGATCAGGGTGTCCAGAACAAGGGGTTACAGTCTAAGGATATGGGGTAGACTTCTTAAGACAGGGCTGAAGAGGACTTTCTTCACTAGGTGACCCTGAGGAATTCTGAGGCCAAAACATGAAGACTTTCAAGAAAGATGTCGGTGTATTTGTCAATAGTAGAGGATTCAAAGGAGGAGCACGCCTCTGAGTTGGATGGTCAGCCATGAAAATATTGAATGGCACAGCGTACTCGAAGGGTGAATTGGGCTACTCTGCTCTGATATTTTATGTTTCGATGTGCGGCGAGAAATAATAGGACACTGGGCTGGGCAGGGGGGTGCTGTTTGTTGACCTTGGCTTAAATGTACATTTACAACTCTTAAGTCATCAAGTACTGTTCAATTCTACATTGTTAAAAAATGCCTTTTCAAACAAGATCTCTGCATTTCAGGTTGTACAATGGGAAAGAAGCTGTTGCTGTTAGATGTTGACTGTGGGGTGGATGATGCCCAAGCAATGATAATGACTCTTGCAGCTCCTAACGTGTACATCCTGGGTATAACGTGTTGTCATGGAAACACAGCAATCGAAAACGTCTGCAAAAATGTGCTGCGAGTGGTACAACTTTGCAAGAGGATGGAGGTAGGTGTTGAAGAGAACGGGAATAAATATCTGTAAGTGGGACTTTGTGCTTTTTGTTCAGTAACAAGAAGTGAGGAATACAAAACTCACTTAAGGCTTGGAGACATCCTACTTTTGTCAAAATGCTTCGTATTGTTTCTGTTTAGAACATGAACATAAATAAGAGGAGCAGCAGCAGACCATGCGGACCCTGAAACCTGCTCTGACATTCAGTAATGGATTTGGAAACAAAGCTCAGCCTTCCTTGTCCTCCTCCTAGCTGACCGGCCAAGGCCCCGCGTTACCTAAGAGCACCAGTACAATCCTGTCCGGGTGGATCTGAAAGGCAGTGGCAGCCTCCAAGAAACGGTGCTGCTGCCTGTTTAAAAAGACACTATCAGGCAGGAGCTAATATGTGGCTAGGTACATGCATTCACTTCATGGCAGCCTGGACCCTGATGAACAAAAGCTTCCTGGTGCAGACCTTGGGAGGTGGTGTGGGACTTGACATGGCTCAAGTTGGGGAGCAGGAGAGTTTGTATCAAAATGCAGCCAATTGGTCAAGTGCAGTAAGGTATGTGTTATGACACGGATAGCAAGCCAAACCAAATCAGCCTCATGATCACTGTATTCGCATTACAGTGAACTTAAACCAATCAACCACCCTGAAAATCGCTCAATTGTTTCTGAACAGATTAACAAATGATAGATCTTGGACACCAACTTAATTTAAACAAAAAATATTAATTTATTGTTGAGAATATGACTTTAGCAAACACAGATGAACAATACAGCAATCAATTAATATCTACAATTTAAGCCCAATTTTTTTTTGATCACAAACCCTGACTCTCTCTCATGATAGACAGAATTACAGGATAAATTTTTTAAAATAGAAGAATCTTAAGTTGCTAGTTTCAATGATGAATACCAAGCCTTAATGAAATCCTTGGGTGATTAGAAATAAGACTTTGTATATCTTGCTTGAATTTCAAAGTCACCAGTCAATGCAAACAGCTTCTGTAGACATTTGGAGACTTTTAATTATTTCTTACAGCTGGGAATATTTTTTACCAACTTTCAACAGATTGATAACTGGAGAATAACAACTAGAGAGAGCAAAATCAAAACCTAGCCTAGTCCAGCAGCTGCAAAACCAAAACTATTTCCTGCACAAAACCCAGCCAGAGACAGTTCACTTTTTCTCTTTCTTTTCCACTATTCTGTGGTTGGCTGACCAGCATCAGTCCTCCCTTGATTGACCAATTCAACACCCAACCAGCTGCCAGTCACTGAGCAGAACAACATCTTGGTGCTGGTTCAGGTAAGCTGGGACTTTTTTCACTGGACCTTAGGAGGTTGATAGGGGTCCTTTTGAAGCTGATAAAATAATGATGGGGAGAGATAGAGTTAATGGATGTTGTTCTTTTTCCCTTGGAATGGGGGATTTCAAGACTAGAGGGCACGTCTTTAAGGTGAAAGCAGAGAGATTTGAAAAAGCGTGAAGGGCAAATTTTTCACACAGAGGGTGGTTTGTGTGTGGAATGAACTTCCCGAGGGAGTGGTGAATGTAGGTACAATTACAATGTTTAAAGGACATTTGGATTCTACATGAATAGGAAAGGTTTAGAGGGATCTAGGCCAGGTGCAGGCAGGTGGGTCCAGTTTAGTTTGGGATTATGTTTGGCATGGACTGGTTGGATCGAAGGGTCTGTTTGTGGACTCTATAACTCTATAGTGCTCTGAGAGCATTAATTAACCTGCATTATTGTTCCAGGCTGATTCCCAACACCAAACATCACTCTTTTGTTCTCCCCTGCATTTTTTTTAAAACAAGCTGCTCTTCAAAGTTCAATTCTCAACTTCAACTCACAGTTCCAAACCAGAAATGAGGGAAGAAAAGAAAAATAATGATGTTCTTAACAGATGTTTAACAGATTTTCGGCTCCATAACTTAAAGAAAGGAAAACTTTTAAAAACTAAAACTTAAAACTTTAAAGCAAAATAATACGGAAAGGGGCAACATTACATGAGGACTTCAATAATCAAGTATTTGAAACATGTTTGATTCCCTCATTTCCTAATTTGAAGAGTTGGAGTCAGTTGTACAATCCCTATTTGTAGTGTAGTGGATGCAAATCATTTTTAACAATACTGACCATCTGTCCAATTAACAATTACATAATTCAGGCAAGGTGTTCAATAAAATTACTATTGATCTTTTTTATATTTAATCTGTTTCACAGAAGAACTGATGTGATGTATGCTTAGTGTTTCTGAAAAGTATTTTCCCGTTTGCACAGATTCCAGTGTACCGGGGTACAGTTACCTCTGTCCTTGGAGAGAGACTCCATGATCCTGCTTACCATGGAAAGGATGGTCTGGGTGATGTCCCAGACCCTAATGCTCCAGGGCTGGAACAAATACAAGCTGAGCATGCAGTGAATGCCATGATAAGAATAGTCAATCAGCATGTTGGCCAGGTGAGATGTTGCCTTCTTCTTCATACGGTGTGCCTTGGGATTAAGGATGACCTGCTTCCTTTCTGTTTCATGCGTGTTGAGACGTCTGGTAAACTAATGTACATTCTGCAGACTCTGCTACATGCAGGGCAAGTGATACTTGAAGAGTCAGGTAGATAGGCTGCTAGGAGGATTGTATATTTTCTCTGCCACCTCAATTTCACCTCTGTGCATTCCCATTGAAATCAAACAATGTTCTTGGTGCTTTTGCAAGTCAGGGACACCAATGAGTTGGTGAGGCTGTTTAATCACTTCAGCGATGCTTTCAGGGCATCCCAAAAGCATTTCCTCTTGCAAGTCTCCTACCGTGACTGAGTTCCAAGCTTCAGGAGTCTGGTGTCGGGCACAAGAACATGTCCTGGTCAATGAAACTAGTTTTATGTGATTAGCACCTTCGTGCTGGGCATGTCGGCTGGGGAAACGATGCTGCTGGTGGAATGCCTTTCTTGCCGTTAGATTTAAACATTCTGTGAGAGCACCATTGATGAGTTTTGTTTTTTGCTCATCTGATGTACCCACTGTAGTTGTGAAATATACAATGTAGTTGGAAAAGCAGACCTTAGTGATCAAAGTCTGTCGATACTTACTTTAAGGTCCCGTGACCTTTTAGGAAAGGGATGAGAATTTTCTAAATTGTCTGACTTTGGATTTCTCTATCCCAGATGGCAGTGGAGGCAGGGTCATTAAATATATTTAAGGGAAAGGTTGGTACATTCTTGTTGTGTTGTGTGAGAAAATCAAAGGTTATCAAGGCTAGATGGGAATATGCAATTTGAAATGCAAACAGGTTTGTCATGACCTTATTAGATGGTGGAACATGGTCAAATGGCCTGCATCAGGTCCTCATTTTTATGTTTGTGTACTTGTAGATATTGAGTAGGTTGAACAGAGTTGCATTCTCCCTGAAACATTGTACATCTGAATTGTAATGTAGTATCCTGAAAGCATTTATGAACATTGCAATAGTTTTTACTTTGAATCTAATGCTAGTATTTTACTATTATAACGTACAAAGGAATGAATGTTTCACTGTTACTATCCTAAGACATTACATCATCTTGTAGGTCTGTCTTGTTGCTGTTGGACCCCTGACCAATGTGGCTTTGGCTGCAAAAATGGACCCCACTTTCCTTTCAAAACTGAAATCATTATACACCATGGGAGGTAACATGGAAGGTATGTCTCCTTTACTGAAGCAAAATATTGTGGAAGCTATAAATCTGACTTGTACAGCAAATGACGGAAATACAGAGCAGGTCTGGCAGCATTGGGGGACAGAGGAAGACAGTTAGTGGATGGAATATTGTCTTTTGATCAGTGGGGGTGGGGGTACTGAAAACTGGTGGGAACTTTATGTTAAATAAAAACCAAAAGAACTGCGGATGCTGTAAATCAGGGACAAAAACAAAGTTGCTGGAAAAGCTCAGCAGGTCTGGCGGCATCTGTGGAGGAGAAAACAGAGTTAACGTTTCGGGTCCAGTGACCCTTCCTCAGAACCATATCTTACTTATGTTGATCATTTTCAGGAGGCCCAATGGAATATCGCAATGGTTCAGCACTTTGTGGGGCAGTAATGTGTTCCCATTGAAGTGAGCCTTAAGCAGGGTAGACATCCCAACTGAAGAGCTGCTGACGAATCAGTGGCTGTAAGCTCTCTGGTATTGTCAATGTCACTGGGAGAGAAGACCACAGCTAGTACTGCATTGGGATCTTCACAGAACCCTGGAAAGAGGTGAGTGGGGGGTCATTGGAGGTAACAAACCGGGACACTGGCAAACGGGGTGAATGGGTCAATTTAAAGGGCAGGAGGGTGGCTTCACACAAACGTCTCCCTGTGATCAGTTGCAGAGTGTTTGGAATGAGAGATGCCCCTGCCTTCACCCCGTCAGTAGGCCACAGGCAAACTTTACTGGATTTGCTGGGTCGTAGATCCACACAGCAAGATCATCCCCACCAGCTTCTGGTGAAATTCCATCATTGGTAAGATGTGGTTCGAAAGTACCCTTCAAGGGTTTCCTAAAGGCTTCTGTAGATCTTCAGGCAGAAAGGCCACTCTCCACCCTTTTCATCCAAAGCTTGGTAAGGGTCTAACCTAAACGATGGCCGAATAGCTCTGCATTATGTCAATTATTGTGTTCTCAACATTTACTATTTATACTTTATTTTCAGCCAGAGGGAATATGAGAATCTGCAGTGAGTTTAACTTTGTTACTGATCCAGAAGCAGCTTCCATTGTTCTCAGCCATTTTACATGCCCCACTTACATTGCCACCTTGGAATATAGCCTCCGCCATCAATTACCATGGGTAAGTTGTTCAAAATATATGGCAACAATCTCAAAACAAGGGGCACAATTTGTCAGCTGCCCCTCAGCCTTTTAATACTCAGTCTGTCATTTGGGAGGAGGCACTGCCTGAGGGAGCTGCTGGCCTCTTTGTTTGGCTGGTAGCATTGTAGTCCTAGCATCACCACTTTGTGTGGTGGCCACTTGTTGGGACCATGTCCAGTCCCAATGAAGAAAAGTCAGGATTCAGATGTAAGTTAAGTAGTGGGGGCTCACATGAACGTTCTGTGTCGTGTTATTGGGTCGTGCAACATAGGAATCGGTATTAGCAAAAATGTTTAGTTTCCTTTCCAATAGAATACATGGTAGGCATAAATCTAGCTGCTTCATGCATTCATAAAAGCAATCCCAGTTACATATATCACTGTGCATAGAGTTTGAATTGGTTTAGCCCTCTCTTCTAATTAGACTTGGAGATTTAAAATGGTTAATTATTAAATGGTTAAACTTTTGGGAACGATGCATCAGGAAAGATGGTTTTCTTGAAAAGACTGGGATAAAAGGGCATATCTTGGAAGTGCTTTAATTGTGGAAGGTTGGAATAAATTGGATCCAAATGCGCTTTTCTGCTGTGCACTGAATACAACGACATCTGATTCAGGCATTGAGAGGCACCTACTTTGAGAATGTACAATACTCAGTGGACTTCTTTAGATTATCATTGAATAAACTGGAGTATATGCAATGAAATGCAAGCAGCTTTATTCAAACCAAAGTCTGTGCCCAGTACAAACTGTAACATGATAAATGTTATGTAAAGATAAAGTTATAGTCTTAGTGGACCATAGGCTGCTCACTCATTAGAGAGAGGGAGAGAGAGAGAGATGACTCATGGTCGTTTAAACTGATGGTTCCCGCCCCTGAGGTGAGGAGCGAGGTTGAGATGGTAGGATCTTCATGATTACCTCTGCCAGCACTGGAATTGAACCTATGCTGTTAGCCTCACTCTGCATTTCAGCTAATTGAGCAATGTATACTCATATCCATATCAATACAGCTGCTACAAGATTAGCTCAGAGGCTAGGAATCCTTCGATGTGTAACTCATCTCCTGACTTCCCAAAGCCTGTTCACCTTTTACAAGGTACATATCATGAGTGTGATGGAACACTCTCCATTAGCTTGGATGAGTGCAGCCCCAACAACACTCAAAGCTTGACTCCACCCAGGACAAAACAGACTGTTTAATTGGCATTGGATTCACAAACATCCATTTCCTCAACCACCGATGCTTAGTTGGAGCATTGTAAATTATCTACAAGATGCACTGCAGAAATTCACCAAGTCTTAGAGTCATAGAACCTTTGTGATGTACAGCACTGAAACAGTCCCTTTCGTCCAACTTGACCATGCCAACCAGATATCATAAATTAATCTAATCCCATTTTCCAGCATTTGACCCATAGCCCTGTAAACCCTCCCTATTCATACACCCATATAGGTGCCTTTTAAATTTTGTAATTCTCCCAGTCTCCATGACTACCTCTGGCAGCTCATTCCATACATGCACCACCCTCTGTGTTAAAAAGTTAGCCCTTAGATCCCTTTTAAATCTTTCCCCTCTCACTTTAAACGTATGCCCTCAAGTTTTGGACTGCCCTATGCTGGTAAAAGACTTTGATTATTCACTCTGTCCATGCCCCTCATGAATTTATCCCCTCAGCCTCCGATGCTCCAGGGAAATGCAACCCCAGCGTATTCAGCCTCTCTCTATCGCTCAAAACCTCCAACCCTGGAAACATCCTTGTAAATCTTTTCCGAACCCTTTCAAGTTCTTAGACAATACGTTCCAAACCCACGACCAGTACCATCTAGAAGTATAATGACAGCCAATACATGGGAACGCCACCTGCAAGTTCACCTAATTGGGAAAAGGCATTAAAGTGGAGTTGAGAATTATCAGATCAGCTATGATTTCTTTGAATGACAGAGTGGATATGATTGGCTGAACAGCCTACTTCTGCTACTGTATCTTATGGTCTTAACATACTTATCATCCTGACTTGGAAATATATCTCCATTCCTTCAGCATCGTTGGATAAAAATCCTGGAGTATTGAGTTGGATTCCCTCCCATCGGCATTGTGGGTTTACCGACAGCACATTGACTGCAACTATTGAGGAAGTCAGCTCATCACCACCTTCTCATGCGCAACTAGTGACAGGCAATAAATGCTGGACCTGTCAGTGATACCCACATGCCCCATGTGAATGGAAACAAATACAAATTGAAGAGGATTAGCAGAGCAAAAGTGCAAGAAGGTAATAGAACAGCAAGGTCATTCTTACATTCACTGAATCTTTAAAACACTAGTGAGCGAGCACAGCTATTTCTAAGAGAACTTGCAGTACTATAGCTGCCAACTTTCTATGCAAACAAATAATTGGTATCTCTTTTGGCTGATGTTAGCGGCTGTTTTAAACTAACATGGTGAACTATATTTACAAATTGGGAACTCCAAAAGCAAATTGGAATTGCATGAAGAACCTTTTTATATTGAAATCATGCAACTTTGTGCAACAGGCAATTAATACAGACATGGAACAAAAAGCCCTCATGGGCTTCCAAACTGAGCAGATAGTTTGCTTTTTAATCAACCTGTTCAGACATATTATGCCAACTTGCAGAGCAGAAGACTACCACTGTGCCAGAACACGCCAATCCCTTGTCAGCAGTTGGGAATATGTGGTTATTCGAAATATTATGGATATCTGGGCTGGAAGATCTTCCAGTGGCTAAAATATTATCAGTTTTTCTTTTGAATTGCAGTACTTTTTTCAAAAGTGGATAAATCAAAATACTGAAAAAGCTTGATTCATGAAGAATATAACTACAAATACTGCTCAGTACATGAAAGATGATCAAGGCAGTAAAAAGTTGTATTTTGGACAGGGGTTTGTATCCTGTGATTCATATGCAATGGCTGCTGCAATTGATGATTCTGTTGTCACTGAACATGCAGCGTATGGGGTAAGTGTGGAACTGCACGGATCATTGACCAGAGGGATGATGGTTGTAGATACCCTTAACCTCCTGAAACTAAAGCATAAAGCTGTTGTCTTTCTGAAATGTGACATGGAAAAATTTAAGCAGTTGTTGGTTAATGCTCTTCCCTGGAGCATCGGAGGCTGAGGGGTGACCTTATAGAAGTGGATAAATTCATGAGGGGCATGGACAGAGTGAATAATCAAAGTCTTTTACCAGCATAGGGCAGTCCAAAACTTGAGGGCATACGTTTAAAGTGAGAGGGGAAAGTTTGTAATGGGGAAAAAAGAAAATGGACGTACATTTCATGTTGTATTATTTAGGAAGTAAACTCAAATACGCTATAAACTTTCATCAAATTTAAACAATATGCTGACGCATTGCTAATATCTTTATCATAGTTACATTGCTGGGTCTGCCTGGTCTCAACTCATCTGGTATGAAAACCTTCATTCATGCCTTTATTATCTTTTGAACTTGATTATTCTAATGTTCTTCTGCTGACATTCTATCTCTCTCCCTCTGTACAACTAAGGTCATGCAAAACTCGTTGCCTGTACCCAACCCCCATTGAATCTAATTAATCTTTACCTGACCCCATGCAGCTAACCTACACTGGCTTCTCATCCTTGTCTTCAAATCATTCCCTATCCCTGCAATCCTCTGAGATTCTGTGGTCCTTTGATTCTAACCACTTGGACACTAATTTCCATCACTCCATTGTCAGTTGTCCCCTCCCTAAGCTCTGAAATTCCATCTCTACACCTCTCTGCCTTTTTTTTCCCTCTAAGGTGTTACATAAATCCTACATATCAGACCAAGCTTTTGGTTATCATTCCTAATTTACTTAATGGTATTCTATTAAATGCCTTGGGATGCTTTATTACTTTAAAGGCACTAGTTGCTTTTAATCATGATTATAACATTAACGAACTGATTACGCTTTGGCTTTGGAGATTTGCATTTCAAACAAGCCATTTTGTTTCTTTGATTTACTAGCTATCTGAATTTGATGCAAAGATCAATATAGTTACGGAAGCTGAAATAAAATCAGTGCTGGAGAAGGTCAGCAGGTCAGGCAGCATCTGAGGAGAGTGCTTTGGGACTGAAGACACAGTCATGCTGGACCCAACATTAACTCTGTGTGGCTCTGCTCATATGCTGCTAGATCTGCTCAGTTTCTCTAGCCCTTTCTGTTTTTATTTTCATCTCCAGCATCTGTAATGTTTTATTTTTAATTATGGAAATTGTCTGCATTTAATTTCACAGAGAAATGTGCTATAATTTAATAAAATTGGGCTTTGATTTTATTTAATCTGCTGTACTAGCAATGGATAAACACACAATATAAAAAAGAGTAGCATGTAACTACTTGTTTTCAATTGTATTTATTTCCATCTGGACCCTGATTCAGTTCTTTAAGTTTATTGAGAAATGTCTTCCTTTGTTCAAATAACTAAGTGGATGAAGACTCACCAGATATTATAGCTACATTTATAGAAATTTTGAAAACAATGCTGAGAGAAGGGAATTGCCATCATTTCTTCCAGATCCCTGGTAAAAAGGAGAGTCTATGCTTATCTCCCAACAAGTGGTACTTGATCCACTATAAACAGATATTGAAAACGGTTGAAGTTCTAATTTTCAAGTACAGTAAGTATTTGAGATTCTATATTTTGTAGACTTTGAAGCTACTGTTCCACGAATATTAGTTCCAGTATTTGGTCAAGGCTGTGCACAGAGCAAGAGGTGAGTTTGCGAACTGTTTTCTGGGATGTTTCACAGCATGAAGACGTTTCCATGAGGTTGTTGACTTGCTAGCCGAACTGGCTTGTTTTCGTTCAGACGTTTCGTCACCATGCTAGGTAACATCATCTGTGAGGCCTCCAATGAAGCGATGTTATTCTACTTCTCTTATACTGTCCA